CTAAATCTAGACTTCTTGCTGCTCAGTTTTTGCTTGATCTAGGAAAATATTCTAGCACTACCAGGTCATCAAAATAAGCTTTGATGGCCTCAGCAGATCTGACTTTGCTGCACTGAAGTAGAACTATTTGAAACATTTCAACGGATTTCAGTATCTCCTCATGTTGCCGAATCCCAAGTTTCTTTTGTCCACATTTTCTCTTACATCTGAAGGATAGGAAACCTCTCTGGCTTTGTATCTGGCCATGTTAAGGATGAAGGCATGGATCTATGCCCCTTCTAAAATCTCTTTTCTGCCCTTCAAAGGTGGTGGAATGAAAAGCCGAAATCATGACAGTTCATCATTTCTGGCTGAAGGGCTAGAAATGAGCCAAACTGGTGTGGGAGAGGTATGTGTTTCTTTCTGTTGAGTCACCAGGGTATGCTCATTTTATTCTATTTTTAGATAACATGCATGCATGTTATCTAAAAATTTTGTACCCTATTTTTCCACTTAAGTGGGACCCAGGGCTGCTGACATTATTAAATGGCAATACAGTAGGACCCCTGTATCTGTGTGATCAGTATCTGTTTCACTTATCCACTGTTTGAATTAAAAATATTAAAAGGAAGAAAATCTAGAAACAACTATTTTCACATGTATTACCAGACCCAGCCACTAGAGGGCTATGCTATGGATACTTGCTCGTGAAGACTACGTAGCGTGGTTTCTGGCACCCTCTAGTCATAGAATCCTAGAATAGGGGCGTTGGAAGGGCCTATAAAGCCATCCAGTCCAACTCCCTGCTTGATGCAGGAATTCAAATCAAAGCAGATCTCCCAGGTGGTTGTCTAAATTTCTCTTGAACAACCCAATTCTGGAGCACTCACCCCCTGTTGAGGTAATTAATTCCTCTGTCTTACTGCTCTAACAGGAAGTTTTTCTTGATATTCAGCTGAAATCTGGCTTCCTGTCACTTGAGCCCATCGTTGTGTGTCCTGCACTCTGGGATGATCAAGAACAGATCCTGCCCCTCCTCTGCAGGACAGGGTTTCAAGTCTTTGAAAAGTGCGATCCTGTCACCCCTCTGTCTTTTTTTCTCAAGGTTAAAACATGCCCAGTTCTTTCAGTTTTTCCTCACAGGGCTTACAAAGTCTGAAAAAAATCAAACAGAATACCACATGGAGACAGTTAGCAAAATAAACACCAACATCACATTCAAAGCAACAAAGGCAGAACCATCCCTTTTAAAAGCCCGTTCAGAGAGCCAGTCATGAAGGGAAAGCTTGTTCAAGAAGCTGAAACAGTCGACACGAAAGTGGATAGACGTTCAGCTAGCGGCCCAGTCAGCTTGTTTGTTCACACACAGCATATCACAAGGAAAAATGTTGGTGTCCCTTTACCCCCAACATTTATTAATCCAATAACAATGGGTGACAAATGTTATAGTTCTTTATTTTTGGATTGGGCGTGTTATGTTCTCTTTCTTGAGAATAAACCCTTTCTTGAGAATAAAACCTGATGGGCCCAGGGCTTCTCTCCATTTGCCGGACCAAAACAGCTTGACGCAGACCAGCCTGTCGTTGCATGTTGTCAAGCGGAGTCTCTCCCAAGCGGGCCTGGAGACCATGGTCTGGCATGTTTTTCAGGAGGATGCTTCCGGGAACATGGATTCTTTGGGTAAGGAGCCGTTTCCTCAAGTCTCATGAGCCTCTACCCACCCAGTGTGTCATTTGCAGGGCTGGAGAAGAGCCAACTGGCAGAAAGAGGAGGGACGTTCTCATGTACCTTTGAAAAGGACAAGCATACAAAGGGGATTGAATCTCTTTCCAAATTGTAAAGCTTGTTTTGGCTAAAATGTGCCCCAGAGACTACAAAGACCTCCAGAGGACTAGCCGTGTGTGGCCGAGATTGAGCTGGAGGGAAAACCACATCCCTCGGTTTCCCAGGTAGTTCGCTTTGGGCGAGGGCAGCTCACAAGCCTTTGGCCAACTCTCCGACCCCATGTTGGGCAATGGACACCAAGGGGACCTTTCCTCCCTTCTCCTGTCAGCCCAGTTGTGAAGTCCCCAAGCAAAGACAGGAGGCGTTTATGGGAGTGCCGTCACTCCCCGTGGTACATAGGGAGATTCAGACCACCCCACCACCCTCTCCCCCTAGGAAGGAACATCGGAGTACAGATGCCCTGGAGTTGGAGGAAGCAGTAAGGGATAGAGGATGGAAACACCAGGGGGTAGATACTTGGGATCTGGTACTCGGAATGAGAGGGTTAAGTGTGGCTACCGAGACTGACTGGGAAAAGGCGGGAGGGATTCAACGGTCAGTGGTGGAGGCGGGAATAGGGGATATAAAGGCGACCCGGGATGAGATACCGGGGGGGTTGGGAGAAGATCTGGGTACAGGATCCGTGGACCGGAAAATGGGAGCAGGTTCGCGTCCCTCATGCTGAAGCCGAAAAGAGACGTCTCCAAGGACTACCCCAGAGACCATCTCACTGGGGTGAGTCCGAGACGCAGGAGTGGCGAAAGAAGTTAAGAGGGGGCAGGAGGCAAAGCGAGCATGGCATCTGGAGGAGCTCCGGAAGATGGGCTTCTTCCTGGACCGTGGCTTGAGCAGCAAGGAGGGGGAGAACCTATGGGGCTGGCTTGGAGAAGAGGAGACCCTTCCCCTTCTAACCCCTGATGAAGAGGAAGGAGCGACCCAAGAGCACAAAACAACGTTAGGTGGACCTTGGGACTTAAAGAATGTTAACCCGTTTGAGAATAGTTCGTGGACACCCTTGCGAGCTACGTTCCAGCAGCAAGAGACGTTTGAAGTTAAACATGTTGATGTTGCAATACCTGTTCCAAAGTTAATAAATACAGAACAATGGTTTGATTTCAAATCCTCTCATAGTTTATTTAACAAAAAGGAGAGCCCTAAAGATGAACCACGCCAGTCCCTGCCCTTCCACCCCAGGCAGGGCCCCGACGTCCAGCCCCTTCTGCTCCAGGGTCCTACCTGGGGGTCCACTCTGACCTCCTGCGTGCTCAGGCCCCCCTGCTGCAGGGTCTCCCAGTAGCTCCTGGGGGTGGGTTTTGCAGGCCCAAGGCGGACCGCCTCCGGATGGCAGCTGAAGCGTCCTGCTCCTACTCATGAGCTTTAAGAGGACAAGGAATGAGGACCCTTGGATATCCTGTATGGAAAACTCTTATTATCTATAACTCCCAGAAATCCTGGCCAGCACAGCTAGGAGTGAAGGCTTCTGGGAGTTTGAGTCCAAGAACATGAGGGGACCCATGGTTGGGAATCATTGATCTATAATACTGTTCAGGGAACCCAAGGTTGCGAACCATTGATCTATAATACTGTTCTATAAGTTTTAGAGACCAGAACTGTAGGCAGTATTCAAAAGGCAACCATATTAAAGGTTGTATAATGATGCTATGATGATAGCAGTTTGTTTTCCAGTCCCTTCCTTATCACAGATGTTGTCTCCTTGTCACAAACCTCAAGATCCTTATCACAGATGTCTCCTTGTCACAAACCTAAATATCTTCTTTTCTGGCTTAGAATCATAGAATCATGAAGGGGCCCTTAGAAGGTGCCTAAAAGGCCATCAAGTCCAACCCCCTGCTCAGTGTAGGAATACCAAAGCAGATCTACCAGGAGGTGGTCTAAATTTCTCCTGAATGCCTCCAGTGTTGGAGCATTCACCAGCTCTTCAGGTCATTAATTCCACTGTTGGACTGTTCTAACAGGTAGGAAGTTTTTTCCTGATACAGTGGTGCCTCGTTTAACGACGATAATCCGTTCCAGGAAAATCACCATTAAGCGAAACATTGTAAAGCAAAAATAAAAACCCCATTGAAACGCATTGAAACCT